TTATTTAATAAATTTGTTTTATTTTTATTAATATTACCTTATATAACTCTATATTAATAATAATTAAAAATCTTTGACTTTATTTATAACTTTTATTTTTTTATTTTAAAAACCTTTTATGTTAAAATTCTTTTAAATAAACTACTTGTTTCTTATATTTTTAACAAATATAACTTTTTTATTTTTCTTTTTTATCAATTTAATCAAACTAGTTCTTTATTTTATTAGACTATTTGCTTTTTTATTTAAGCAGTTTACTACTTAGCTTTAAATTTTCTTAATTTTATCTTAAACACAACTTTTTTTTAACATATTTATTAATTTTGTTTTTAATCTATATAAAAAAAATACTTACACTTAATAGTTTTAAAATATTCAATTTTTTATATATTCTTTTTTTTATTTTTACTCTATTTGATTTGGTTTTTGTTTATTTTATTTTTACTATTTACAATATTTTATTTTTTTATTATACTATTACTTTCTTTCTAACAAACTTTTTTTTTATTTAAACTAACAAATATATAAATAAATATAGATTTTTTATTGTATTTTATGTTTTTTATAGTTTTAAATTATATCTTTTACTAGCTTACTTTATAGTTTTTCTTTTAGTTTAACTTTATCTTTTATTTTAATTTTAAAAATCATTAAAATTAATCTTTAAACTATTTAATAGATTAAATATTATACTTTTCTTTCTTATATTATTACTTATATTGAAATTTAATTTTTTTTGTAAATTTAGATTACAGAATATATCTTTAAGTTTTTATTCTTTATATATAATTTAAAAACAATTTTTTTTTTATAAAAACTTTACTTAAAAGTATAGTAACTTAGTGAAGTGAATAAATTGATAACTTTCAAAGTTGTAGATGATAATTTTAAAATCATTGATAATAAAAATTTAGACAATTATCTATATAATATTTAGACAGTATTATAGTAATAGCATTTTGTTAATTAGTTAAAATAAAATATCTATAATTATAATCATATCAGCATAACTAACAGATCACAAGATATTTGTATAATCTTAGTTATACAAAAAATACAAACTGATATTAGATAATGCAAACTCATTTAAAATAAAGTTTTATGACTATATAAATCTATAAAACTAAAAAAAACTAGAATTTACTTAAAAAAACCTAAACAGAAAAATAATATAAAACTTTAGTAATATTACTGTAAAAGCCAAACCTAGAAAATAGATACTAATATAGAGAAATTGTACAAACAAGAATTTCTAAATAAGAATTACTATTAACTAAACTATTAGGTTGAACTAAAAAAAATATATTAGGCCAAACTTGATATATCAAAAACAGGTTACAGTTCTTTTAAGCTATCTAAATTGAAAATCTAAAAACAAAATAATAGTATACTAAAAGTACTAGAAATATGTTATAAAGTAAGTACTAAAAATAGATAAATTTTATAAGAACAAACTCTTGTTAATAGTCTGTAAAATAAGTAGATAATTAACAAAAAAACTTTCAAAGTCTTATCAGTAAGTATTATACTTTAAAATATATAACAGCCTAAGTACTAGTTTAAAAAAAAGAAGATACTATACTGTTCAAATAGTATATTAGTTAAGTATATATAAGATATTTGTAGTAGTTAAATAATTAACAAAATATATATTAGAAGGTTTAAATGAATAATCTTCTAGTAGATTATAGATATAGCATTTAGTATAGAACCTTAGAGTAAACTACTTAAATAAATAACTAAAATTATATATATAGCTAGCTATACTCTTATTTTTATAAAAATAATTATAATAATAATCTTTTTTTTTTATTTTAAAGACCATACTTGTGGTGATACTTTATTAACTTTATATTGAATTAGCTATTACAACTATTTTTACAGAGATGAGAGTACAGCTAGTCATGTATGCAACTTTTGATTATCTATTTAAGTAGTCTGCTCTAAGGTTCTACACTAGATGCTATATCTATAACTTACTAAAAAATTATTCATTTAAACCCTCTGATCATCTGCCCTGTTATATTGAAATTCCCAACTAACCCCCCATATATACCTAACTGGTATATTGTCTGAGCAGTATGGTACCTACCCTTTTTGTACTAGTTTCCAGACTGTTACATATTTCAAAGTATGTCATCTGCCAGTAAGGTGCAGGGGGCCCTCTGTTATTAACTATCTATCTACTTTTAGAACACTAACACAGGCTACCTTTGCAGAGTTCACCCAAACTCTAGTACTGACTTCACAGTATATCTCTAGTATTTTTAGTATACTACTGTTTTAAACCCAGACTCCCAATCCAGATAGCCCAGAAGGACTGTGATCTGTTCTTGGTATATTAAGGCCAGCCTAATATTCTTTTCCTCCAGTTTAAAATCCAGTAGCCTAGTTGATAGTATCTCTTACTCAAGGTTCTTGACCACCTGAATCCTTCACATTGGTATCCATTTCCTAGGTCTAGCCTTTACAGTAGTACTGTCAAAGATCCATGTTACCTCTCTGTTCAGAATTTCCAAATAGGCTCTGGCTTCCCAATTCTACAGATTTATATGAGCCGAGGACTTATTTTAGGTTTGCACTACCTGGTACCAGTTTGCATTCCTCTGTGTAACAGATTACACAGATGCCCCAGACCTGCCAGTTATGCTAGTGCAACCATAGTTACAGGTATCCTATCCCAACTGATCGACAGAATGCTGTCACTGTAATACTGTTTATATATTACATAGGTGATTATCCAAATTTCACTGTTGATGGGTTTTGAACTTACAACTTACTACTTGGGGGTATAACAACTTATCTACTTCACTAATTTGCCATACCATATAATAATAATCTTAAAATATATTAATAAAATAACTATTATAGAGTATAATTTTTAAATAAATTAAAAATTAAAAAAAAATAAAATAATAAAGTTAAAGCTATAACCTTATTTTTTATATTAAAAAAATAAGAAGTATAATAACTTAGTAAAATAGATAAGTTGTTAATTTTTTAAGTAATAAGTTATAAATTTAAATCTTACTAATAATAAAATTTGAATAATTTTTTATATAATATTTATATTATAATAACAGCACTTTATTAATTAATTAATATAGTATATCTGTAACTATGATTATACTAGTATGATTAACAAGTTATAAAGCATTTGTATAATTTTAGTCAAATAAAAGAATGCAAACTAATATTAAGCAATGCAAACTCAAGATAAGTTTTATAGTTGTATATATTTATAAAACTAAAAAAACCAAAACCCACTTGAAAAAACCTAAATAGAAAAATAATATATATTTTTACTAGTAGTACTATAAAAGCTAGACCTAAAAATAGATACTGATTTAAAAAAAATTAGACTAACAAGAACTTTTAGACAAGGAATACTATTAACTAGACTGTTAAAAATCTTAAACTAAAGAAAAAAAGATATTAGACTAAGCTTAATATATTAAAAATTAAATCATAGTTTTATTAGACTATCTGAATTAAAAGTTTAAAATTAAAGCAGAAGTATATTAAAGTACTAAAAATAAGTTGTAAAGTAGGTATTAGAATTTGAATGAACTCTGCAAAAGCTAGTTTTGTTAATAGTTTATAAAATAGATAAGTTAGTTAACAAAAAGATGCTTTAAGTTTTACAGCTAAATAATGTACTTTGAAATTTGATAACAACTTGATAAATATATAAAAAAAGACTAAATGTTGAGTTAACCATTATTTAGTTGTATAAAAACAAGATACCTATTTATCTAGATGCAATATAAAGATCAAAATGTTTAAACAAATAATCTTTTAATAAGTTATAAGCATGATAGCTAGTGTAGAACCTGTAAGCAAACTATTTAAATAGGTAACCAAAAGTTGCATATTTAGCTAGTTGTACATTTATTTTGTACAAGTTATATGTAATGCATTAACTAAAAATACAAATAAAGGCAATAGCTACTATGAACATTAGCTTTAATAAATAATAATAATAAATATATATATATATTAAAAAATAATAATAATAAATTAATAAAGTATAATTTACAATTTAAAATTATAAAAAAAATTTTGTAATTTTTAATATAAACTAAAAATTATATTAAAATTTATAAATATAAAAATTAATATTTAAAAAGTTTATTTTTATTAAAATTTTTTTAAAAATTATATATTTTTGATTTATACATAATCTAATTTTTTTTTTATAATTTAAAAATAAATATTACAAAAAAATAATTAATATTTTAAAAAGTAAATTAGAGCTAAAAAAAGTGCAAAAATACAGACAAATTTAACTAATAACTATTTATAAAGCCAATATATAAAATTGCTTATATTTGTTCTAAAATCTCATACATTATTTACACAATCCACTTATATTATATCAAGCACTTCTGAACTGCCACTTTATTAGTAAAATCTTGAATAATTTTATAAAAATTTTATTAATTCTAATCTATTTTATGTACTAAATAAAAATTTTCAAATAAAAATTTTGTTATACTATAGCTGGCTGATGCTATTTTTAATGTTAGACTAGCCTTAACCTTAAAATCAGGCTGATTTGCCGAATTTTAGTTGCTTCACTAATCTGTTCTTAATCAATCATAGATTTTATATGATTATACGCCACTACAATTGAGACTCAAATTACTAATACCAAACATGTTTCAGACATAATGCATAGGATATTGGTCTTCGTCATAACAGTTAAGAGTCAGCTTTACAGGTAAAATTTATAATAAATAAGTATCCCTTAAACCGTCAATTTAACTACGTATCTACTACGATTTAGACTACAATTCAATATAATTTGATAGCTTAATCACAGATCAATCATGAAATTTCCAGATAAATTTGCCTGGAAAACGGTTTAAGGGATAAGTGGGGCAGGGACGGTGAATACTTCCATTCCATTTTATTCCAATATCAATTGACCAATCAAAACTTGTATCTAGTGCTAGATGCAAGTTCTGATTGGTCAATTTATATCGGAATAAAATGGAATGGAAGTATCTACCGTCCCTGAAGTGGGGTTATAAGGTTAAATAGAAACTTCAAAAGTCATTTTAATCTGACTTTATCAATGATTTTATCAGTTACGTTTTGACCAATCACGATGTGTTTATCCACATCAAATCAGAAGTTATAGGCAGAAATTCTTAGCTTCATAGATCAATTTGTAGGTCTACATGAGATTATTAGGCAATCAAATCACACAATTTGCAATTCGTTATTTTATATTATGGAAATAAATTCATATAAATCGATAAATACACATGTTTATTGGATTATATACGCATAAAAGATAGATAGGCGAATATAGAGTAGGGCAAAAAATGGTGTTCGCTATTAAACAAAACCCGAATCAATAAACCTATAATCTATAAACCTAGATTGATCTATTGTATCTAAGTACGCTTTAACAAACTAAGCTAACTTAAGAATATATCAAATATAAAACTCAGATCTCTCATGCGAACAAGCTTGTCTTGCTTCAACCACCTAACCAGAAATCTCAATCTTTAAAAAAAAGAGACAACTGTTCTGTTAGTAACTACATTTGTTTTTGTGCATTTTAAAATTCAAACGTAACTTTTTTCTGTACCTCTTTCAGTAATTCGTGTCTAAGCTAACGTTTCTGTGAATAAGATTATAAAAGATTAATTTTGAAGTTCGCATTCTAGCTTTTTTTTGAAGATAGAAATAATGTTTGTGACAATTTTTTACTTAGTTATCAAAAAAGTACTTTAAGGTGTATAAATAAATTACCAAGGTAATTGATGTACAGCCCATGAAATCAGAATGCACAGTATATCCCCTGATACAAATACCCCAGATAACCCGGTTAATTTAATAATATCCGGGTAGAAATTTTCTCAATCTCTACTTATTACATTGCTGTAAATCCCATAATAAATAGGTATCTTACTATGATCGTACCAACAGAATGACTCGAGTTCTTTTGGTGATGATTGCGTCATCAAATAACTCCGTTATTTGATGCAATCATCATCAAAATAACTCGAGTTATTCTGTTGGTACGATCATAGTAAGGTGCCCATCGGTCTATATGAAAATCACATGATTAATATAGACCGATGTGAATAACCTTGTCATAAATCATCGTGCTATGTATACTAGAAAGAACTTTGTTAGGTTTCGGTCTTTAAATTGCCATGCACTAGGAAAACTTTATTTGGGTCCTTTAAATTGTCATGCTAGAAAGAGATTTATTAGGTTTCAGTCTTTTAAATTGTCGTGCGCTAGAAAGAACTTTATTTAGATTTGGGTTCCTTGAATTGTCGTGTACAAGGAACAATTTTATTTAAGTTTTTTAAATTGTCGTATGTTGAGGACTTTTAAAATTGTTATTTGATAAAGAACTAGTCTCTTTTTTAATTTATTATTTAGAGAACATTATTTAATAATTATACTGTAATTTCTTTATCATTTGATTGACTCAATGAAATGTTTAGTATCGTAGTAATGGTCTTTTTTATGATTCCATTGCGAAACGGTGCAGGTAACGGTCCTGGCGATAATTGGTTTATTTTCTTTATTTAATAGTCAATAAATAATTGTTAGTGTTCTTTGAATGAGAGATTTTTTCTGCTCTTGAAAAGAAAAAAAGTTTAATTCGATAATGTGTTGCACGGATACCCATGGAGTAATCTAGTTAGAATAATAGTAAACTACATGATCTTTGGCCACATGATTTTACGTATCCATTAAATAACAAGAATTTATTTGATTTATCGATTATACTAAAGTTCATTTGCTTAATGTAAGTTCTTGTTTATAAAATTTTAAATTATCAGGTTTGTTAAATGATAACTTGAAATAAATTAGATTTTTTTATAAATCTTTATTAAAATAATAAATCTTCGTTATACAAAAGAGTGATTTAACAACTTTGCTGCCGCAAAATTTATGAGTAACTCGGTATCAATTTTTTTTTAAAGTGTTTTCGGTATTATTCATAAATAGCATATTTTTTAAAAAGAAAATAAAATAAAAAAATGAATAATTGCGTCATCAAAAAATTGAACAAGGATGTTCACAATAATTGTGGTCATGAAGAGCTTTCAGTTGCTTAATTTTATATATTGTGTTTAAGGAGTAATTACCTTAACCAGTCAGTCCCACAAACACTGACCAAAATAATAAACCAAAGTTATCTCTGAACTATAGAATGAAGAAACGAACGTCTGCAACAGGCGTCCACTTTAGGATCCTACAGCAACTTCACAAATTACGGCCTGATGAGCTTTCAAATTTCTTCAATCTATAGCCAAAGTCGCAAAACGAATACATACGATCAGCAACTATTCAGTACAATATATTACCTTTATATTTGTGTTATTCAGTCTTCTATAGTACTTCTTAGTGACGTAAAAACAACCTAATATTAGAAAAATATAAAGCGTAAGTGTGAAATGTAAAAAATACAAAGTTTAATAAGATAAATTTGATATCACGAATTCACGTGATAATCACAAATTTTAAACTGACTCTAACTTCGTGCAAAAATGTTGTAATTGGTGTAACAAAAACAATCATTAGGTATTTTCTAATTGGTTAATTTTTTATATAAAAAATGTTTGTTATTGAAACTTTTCACTAAAAAAATCCCTACATGTCGATTTTATTTTTCATAAAGAGATTTACTATCTTCCAAATATAAAACCCAAAGAGTTTTTTATTTCGATTATAAAAATAAATAAAAAAAGATTTGCGAAGAAAAGAATTTCTCTAAGCTCCAATAGAAAGATCTCTGTTGCGAACATTATACACCAGATTTTTGAATATCTAGTTATAAATAAATTACAATATAGTATTCTATCGACATATAACCAACATTGGTTCCTTAGAAGAACCATGTGCTCTCGAAATTTTTTCAACAGTATTACGATGTCTGGCTTATAAAATGGGATAATGAACCCCTTGCAGCAAACATCCAAACCTGAATTGACAATGATGAACAAAACAAAAAAATTTGGGAGGAACGCAATAAATTTAGGTCATTAGAAATCGAGTCTCGATCGGTTGACATTGAATTAGCCGTTAATAAGGCAAGTGATGCTATGAAACCTCTTGAAATAATAGCGATGTCGATCTTGACCCAAGACTCCTTTTCGAATTAGTTTGGCACCTGTCAAACTAATATTACCTTATGAGAAAACATGCGTCGCTTTGATTGTCATATTGTAGAGGTGAAACTCAATGAAGAAAATGTTATCAGAATGAAGGCTGGACTGTAAAAGGAAAAAAGATGTTAGTTAGAATTGGTAAAACAGCGTATGTGAATGAAAAAAAGTGTAAAAGCTATAGAAGGTGTTCGAAAAATCCTCTTGTTTTTTTCTGTAAATTTCTTATAAATAACGTGTTGGGCTTTTTCTTGTAAAAGCAGTTCAAGTAACAAGTGTGCCTACACAAAAAAAAAATAATAATAATAATTAATAAAGTCCTTTAAATTGTATTCTAAATAAAAAAAACTAATTCCAAATAATAATACGTTCTTTAAAAACCCTTTTACTTGTCCCACCTGAATCTCTCTCGAAACGCTCTTCAACTATCTGTGGCAGATCGTTCCGCCTCTTAATACGTTGAGAAACGTTACGCGGCATGCCTTCTGATTTAGTAACAATTCGTCGCTTCTTTTGTGTGTTGAGGTGATCATTAATCCGCCCGTAATAATAGTCTTCCGTTATCAGTTTATCTTTTTCACAGACTGATCCAACTTCTAAACAAAGCGTTGTACATCAATGCAAGATAGTGTCCACAGTTTTAGAATTTTATTAAATAATTTCTGAAGATTTGAGTGTTACAATTGCATCTAAACGAAAAAAAACCTTGTTTAAAATTTTAATAATTCACCTAATAAATGCCCAACCACATGATCTATGGAATTAACATTTTCATAAAGATAATGTGTTGTTTTATTAGCTTTGAATCTATAGTTGCTGAAATTACTATATATAGAAAACATCAATATACAGATAATATATTTGCGAAATCAAGTTTGGATCCGAATCTGTTATCGTGACAATGGACTGTTGTACTATCAAAGAAATAACTGTTAATGTATCTAACAATGATTTTTTCCAAATTTGAAATAACATGGTTGGTTGTATTTACTTGTATACTAGTTTTGGTTATCGTAATTTTGTGTGATACATGAATTATGCTTGAAACAAGTTACAAGAACAATCACCATGAGCGCTTAGAAATACGTGTAACCATAAAGCTATTTTGTTATCCTAGATCGGAATATGCAAGTAACGCTTAAAAACAGTCTGTATCTAATCGTATTCATTTGTTCGGAAAATGGAAGTTCGGCAATGTGCATTTGGCAAATAATTGATTCAATTCGCTAAACTGTTTGTAATAAAGTATTACCTATGTTCTCGTCAACCCATCATTGTTTTATCTTTTTCTAGACAAAGAATTCAACAACGAAAATATTAGACAACCAAAAAAAATTGAAACATGCACATTATTTATTGAATATAAATACCTGCTTTTCTTTTTGAAAAAGTCTGCACATCTTTATCCTATTGCGAATAAATGTGTCATTAGCCCAGAATTCGTTTCCATCGTTCTTTTTTGCTCTTTCTCTTCCCTTACTCACATATAATCTTAATTAAAATGAGATTTTTCTTAATAACCTTTTCAATCCTCTTGTTGCTGGCGACCCAAGGGGGACAATCTGCGTTTATTCCAACGCTTTCTCCAACATCCACACAATCCATTAACCTTGAAACCACTGATACTGAAATATCGTTACCCAAACCCACTAACCTCGATGATAATATTACCAATTTGGTAGATGGATGTGCAATAATTCACAATAAATTTAAGGCAGCAAACATATCCGGACAAGATCTTTCCTTTCCCGTTTCGGATGTCAGATCTTGTTATAATTCATTTAAATTTGATGATAACATAAGAACTGGCACAATAGATACTATTAAGAAAATTCTCAATGGATTTTATGTGTTTATCGATCAAGTCAATAAACCTCCCGAACCCGGTTTCAATTTTGACTCGTTTGACATCTTGAAAGAACTTGATTCCTTATCTAAAAAAGAGTACAATGATGACTTTGAATTCACAGTATGTATATGAATAAACTTATTTGATAATTTAATTCGGTTATTAAATTAAGATCATTTAATTGCTTTTTTTTAGACTGATGTAATCAACCTAATAATTAAGATGAAAGACCCGCATACTTTCTACTTTCCAATTTGTTATACAAGGTTCACTTTCACTCAACAGTTGGCCCTATATTCCATAGTTACAGATGATGGTTCACAACTTATCAAAGTCTTCAAGGATAATTTGGACTCGAGTAACAAAAATTGTGTGGTCGATACGATCGATGGTAATCCAGCGTTGGATGTTATCAAACAATTTGCACGCGACAATGTTTTCGTCTCCAAAGATCTTGGCGTTCGATTCAATATGGCATTGGCTTCATTGGCTTCATTTAAAGGAAATCTCCAACTTCACCCGAGATCTTCTCAATTCAATATCCGATTAATCTTACCCGATAAAGATTCCATCACTTATACTTTGAAATGTGGTTCAGAAACTAAAACAGTTGTAAGAGAGTGGATGGCTTTTATAAACAACGGAGAAGATCTTAATAGCTTCTCTGATTCTTCTTCTTACTGGTCAAAATTCTGTGTCAATCCTTCCGCTTCCACACCTTCTCAGCCTTCTAAATCTACCCAACCTCCTAAATCTACCCAACTTCTTAAAAAATCCACTAAACCTCCTAAATCTACTATATCTCAACTTCCTGGACGTTCTCGATCTTCTAAACCTAAAATTTTACAACGTTATAAATCTTCAAAATCACGTTCAAAATTAGGAAACTCGAAACCTAAACAATATGACTACGTGGATCGCCGTCAAAGGCATCGATCTCAGAATAATTTTGACCCTCTGAACATGAACGATGTTAATTTGTTCAAAGAAGATGTCGTATTCAGTGATGCCACGTTAGTTGCTGATGCAAAATTGGCGCGATTTTATAAGTTGAATAGTAAAAATAATATTGGGGTTGCCATGATTTCGACTGAAGATCCTACTGATCTTTTCACAAGTGACGATGATGCTTTTACAAGTCTTAGGAACGGTTTCAAATCATTGGCAGATACTGGTGTTACCAAACTCATTCTTGATTTGTCGAATAACGAAGGTGGTTCAACAACTATTGCTCATTTTATCAATAAAATATTATTTCCTGCTACATATCCTGCTTTCCCAACCGATTGGAGCCTTACTGACATTAAAAAGGCTGCGATTGAAGCCGTTGACGTTAAAAATCCTCCATTTTCCTTGTTCGACTGCAACCTCTATCTAACTTCCCCTGATGCATTACCTTTTAACTCTACTGATGAATTTCTTAAAGTAAAAGGATTTGGATTTGAAAATGATAAAGATCAAATAGATGGATTCATTAATAAAAATCCCATTTCTTTGCCTTGGAATGCAACTGACATGGCTATTCTTACAAATGGATATTGTGGATCTGCTTGTTCGTCAATTGCATTACACATTGCTGAATTGAATGATGTTACGACTGTTTCAGTTGGTGGTTTCCAAAAAATTCCGTTATCAGTAAGTTCTTTTGCTGGTGGTGAAGAATTCATTTTTACCGACCCTAACAACGGTTTTGAGGATCTTGTAAAAGACCTGAACAGATTAGGTTTATCTGATAACAAGCAAACTCCACAACAGTTTCCAACAAATATTTTCTTTCCATTTACAATAAGAAGAGCTTTTAGTATCAAAAATCCTGATCAAATTCTTGAATATTCTTTCAGACCTGCAAAAAATCAGATTAATTATAATGATCAAAATGTTAGAGACCTCAGCATTGTTTGGGGTCAAGCTGCAAATTTCCTTCCAGTATAATTTAAAAAAAAAAAAAAATCAAATTTCATTAAAATGTGTAACTTCATTCTTTTTCATTTGTAACTTTAGCATTTACATTCTTTTTTTCATCTGCATTATACATACAAATCATTGCATTTTCATTTCATTTGTAATTTTTTTTTTTTTATAGACTATTTTTTGCATTTATTCATCAATAGAGATTTTCGAGTCCAATAATATGTTCCTGAACCTTTTAAAACAAATAACTTAGACTTAAGATACTTTTTAATATGTATACTTTAATTTATTTTTGTTTGTCTACTTTTTCAAAACAAAAAGATTTAAAATAAATTTTTAATGCTGTTTTAACAGCTTATGACCTCTAATAAATTCTATTTGACCTTATAATAATATAGTATTACTAATAATTCGTTAATATTTTTATAAATGAAATCGAGATCTCCTTTAGCATTATCCTCTTTTGAAATTCACTTAAAGAATCCAAAATAATCTGCACGCCGAAACGTTCCGACTTGACTTATTATAGGAAAAGTATTGTTAGCAGTGCGCTTTCTCATTAGAGATAAAAAGTAGGTAAATAGTTCTTCTTTCAGAACCAACAAACTTTTATCAGCAACAAAGTAAGAGCTTAAATAGAGGACTTATTATGCTTTCAATTTCTCAGACCAATATCCGGATGAATTTGCGAAATGAAAAACACGCCTTTTTTGTTAAATCTGTGAAATCTTTTTGGCTATTAACTTTTCTATTTCTTCCAAAAAACGTCGAACCCAAGTACTGTCGAGCTCATGCCAGTGGTTTGAGAAAGCTGGATTAATTATATCGTGATGGTGGTTCAGAATTTGTGATACGAATAATTATCTTTATCTTGTTTACGTAAGTAGGAAATGAGGGCTAGTAGAAAGTCAAGATTTATTAGAGAAATTGACTTGGTGAAAGTACAATGAAGATTACAAAGTCAAAAAAACTTATCTTCATACCCAAGAAAATTGAGTTGCGACGACTTGATTTAAAAAAAATTTAGATTATCTTCTAAAAAATTATTACGAAAATTATGTACCATATTTATCCGTCCGCCATGTGTACCAGGATATTTCCCTTGCCTAAATTATTTCGTAATTATGTGATTACGTAATTACCTTATTAAACTGCATATCGTAAATGTGGTGGCGCAGATACGAATCAGATTTCAAGATTAGATGTAACTTAAAACATCAGGAAGAACGTTCGTTCTACTTAAAATTGCTCATAGCTCGAAAATCAGCATAAGAAACCACCTTCTGGCATAAGAAACCACCTTCTGTGCTCTAACAAGAAGTTTTTGTTGAACAATTTTACTATATAAACTATCCCCCCTCTTAACGAATTTTAAGAATTTAGTTTTCTCCACTAACCTTGTACACATTTACGATATGCTATTAAACTTTTGCACTTATTACGACATTTTTAGTAGAGTTACCAGCTATGACTACATCTTGAGTAAAGTATTGAACACCTTAATGATTACGAAGTTAAATTGGCATTATATGTTGAAACTTCTTCCTTGGTTGTAACACTGTCCCTCCGAAATTAAACATGCCAATCATAACGCAGCAAAGATTTATTAATCGTGTGATCAATGACATTTAATCAAATTTTCTTAAAAGTTTAAGATTGTTTTTCTTTCTTACTCTAAACCTAAAGTTGATATTAATCAATCAATTAATTTTGGCAACTTAAACTATTATGCATTATGTAATTTATTAATATATAATAGTAATATGTAATAATTTAGTAATGGTATATTTTATTAATAACAATAATGAAAACTTAACTATGATTTTCTTGAAAATCATAAAAATATAAGGAAAATAAAAACAAAGAAAAACTGAGTGAATCTAAATAAATAAATTACTAGAACGATAAAGAAAACAACAAAACCAGATTGTAGCACTACTAGACAGACAAGATAAAGTGCAAAAGGAATACAACAACAACTAAAAACACAACAGCCAAGCAACAGACCCTTGGGTCAATATACAAATTTACATTTGAGGCAGCAAAGCAAATCCAAATGGAAAGCTATAATACTAGAAATAAGGCCAGTAGCAATAACAGGAAAACAAGCCCAAAAGAAAACAAAACAGAAATAGATAATACAGTTTCAAAAGTAAAAAAACTTCATACCAACTCTGCTTTACTATACAAAAGTTCAAAAAGTGGCAAAACTGGAATACCCATGATAAAATCAAAAATGATATCATTATCAGATTATAACAACAAAACAAAACTAGATCAAACAGGTTTCAACAATTAGATACCAGAAATAGAAATACATAACAACAACTTATCTAAAACAGATAACAATATGCAACACAACATAACAATGCAACAAATCAGCAACATGAACATAGCAACCAATCAGAATAGCATAATGAACTTACAAGAACAGACACAAGATCACAACAAGGAAGCACAATCAACAGAAAACCAAAATATAGCATCAGTAGCAAATAGCGACAACATGGAAATAGAAATTAATAGTAATACAATAGCAAAGCAACCAGTAGCACAAGTGACTTATAACTAAATAGTACAAAAAAACTTAACACAGCCTAACAACAAAAAAAGCACAAAACAGAATGACTATACAGAAGAGTAGACACAAGAAATTAATAGAAGACTAGAAAAAGAAGTAAATCAAGTCTTTAATAAAGCTCAATAGAACTATGACAAAATAGTAACTGCACTTCAAAATAAAGAAGGAATTCAAGAATTTGTTCAATATAAAATGCATACTAAACCTACAAATCAGACATTACATCTAGTAATCGAAACTAAATTTAGACACAGAGATGCTATCTTCTTTTTTACCTTTATGAGAGAAAAAAAATTAACTCTATAGCATCAAGAAGCATATAAAAACCTTTTCCAAGAAGCTCTTAAGAAATACAAAGCAAATAACAAAATAACTATGACCGATAGACAAACAAGAGACTTAATTCACCAAAAACTTTGACAAAAAATTATAATTGATTACCTAACTAATACAAAGTTCTACAGAATGTCAACAAAGCAAATCTACTATCTTATCAAATACTACAAAGAATTCACCAAAGACAAAATGATCGGAAACAATAAAGAACTATATGAAATAATACAAGAAGCAACTACACTACATCTCGAAAAACTACTAGATGATCCTAACCAAATTCCAGAAAACATAGTTCAAATACTTTCTTTCGATCTGCCAATAAAACAAAGAGACCATACCAAAGCAGTTGCTGCAGCTTTACATAGAATATATCAGTTTGATAAACTACCATAAGCCTATTTTATATTACTAGAAACATTGCCAAACAGAATTGCAGACCTAAACTCCAAAATAAAATATTTGTTTCCAATTATAGAGAGAAGTCAGCTTAGAGAACTTGTAGATATAACTAGACAACTAAGAAATTATTACTCTTTCGATAGAATCCCAAATAATTATTTCAACTTACCACCCTCCAAAAAACTATTGCCCACAGCCTACCAAGATCTGAAGCCTACATACAGACTGCACTTTCCAATAGATCTAAATACAAACTTCATAAAAACAATCTAAATGCTTAAAGAAGATTATTTCTTTGAAAGATTACCTAACAACTACTTTCTAGTAAAGCCAAAATTACTAAGAGAAACCAACAAAATTTGAACAACTGATGAGTTCACATACCAAATTACAGACAAAACACAAGCAAAAAAGTTCATTCAGCAAATTAAACCATGGTACAAATTTTTATTTCTACTACTGCCTCATATTAAAACAGTAAATCCAACAGACAAACCAGACCTACCAGAGAATCCACAAGAAATAACAAAATACAACCTAATACTACCAATAACAACACTTAAAGAGCTAGTAACAACAGCAAGACTACTAAAAGAAACCTAATATTTTTATAAAATTCTAACAATCTGGATTCAAATAAACCAACAAACAAACCAAATACAACCTGAATCAGAAATTACGAATACATAAATCAAACCTAATATCCCCAAGACCTTAATCGAACTACAAGAACAGCTAGAAAAAATTACAGATTCTATATATATTAATATACCAATAAATCAACAAGAAGACATTACAAACATCTTGAAGATCCTTCGAGAGTATTTCTATATAGAAACAATACCTGACTATTTACTACAACTACTACTACTCCCAAAACCAAACTAAAATATCTTTACATAAATTCAATGATACTACAACCAAACAGAACAAACAAGAACAATTTAAGCAAAACATCAACAGAATACCAAAAAAATTACAATATACTTAAAAATATATAAATTCTAATACACAATATCCAAGATGCAAATGACAAACTAAAAATGCAAATATGGCTGAAATTCTGTTACAAAAATAATTATAACATAGTTAGCATGACTGAAACAAAACTTGCTGAATCAATTTACTCAAAATTCAAACTATCAAACCCCTACTATGCCATATATACATCAAACAGTACTAGCGAAGTTGTGAAAAAACAAGAATCAAACATGGGCACTTTAATTGCAATATCCAAGTTTCTTCAACCATATATACATAACATCAAAACTATACCAGGCATAGCAATAGCAATCAACTTTTTCTTTTCACAAAACCAAAAAGTAAGAGTAATATCTGCTTATTTACCTTCTAATAACAAAAAACTAAATCAAAACATGCAACAAGAAATCACTACATGGATTACATATAGCTATACCTATAACTACAATATTATAGTTCTTAGAAACTTCAACTATGATAGACAAAAACACAAAACTCAGCTCACAATACAATTGTTCACAGCAATGCAAACTCATAGTATGAATAGTCTTTTAAAATATTTCAATATAAACTCATCTATCTGGGCAAGAGAACTACTACAAAGCCAAATAGATGATATATGAATATTAAGCACAATGCTATCTAATATAACTCAATTTGAATTAATCAGTGCAGAGCTCATAACAAATAGCGACCATAAAATAATCTCAACAATATGGCAACC